TTTTTTGAAGCTTTTTAAACTGAAATCACCACCCAGCACTTGACTCTACTCCTAAGTAGCACCTACAAGTAAAGGTTTATAGCACAAGCAAAACTGCCAGGGCAGCAGGAAAAGCGAGTTCAACGTGGCCCCTCCCTCCCCAAATTAATGAGCAAACAACGTGCTAGATAAGAGTTAATTACATCATTACATGTTAAATAATTAATATTACCCTCCAACAAGCCACAAATGCTAGATAGAGAACTTCAGCACAGTACTAGCCACAGCCCTACACCACTGCTGGGAGGATGGGGAGGATGAGGAGGAGGAGGATGAGGAGAGGGAAATCCTTTGCTTCGTGCCCGGAATTAACAGAAAAGGAAATTCATGGTAGGATTTTTATTAAGGAAATTCATGCCAAAGCCAAGTGGGACTTGATGGAGTTTTTTCGTTTTTCTCCCCCCAAAAAGCAACAGAAATAAAAGGAACTGATTGTGCTTTATGAATCAGAGGTGGGGCCGGGCTCTGCCAGCCCCAGCTCGGTGGAGTCTCAACGGAAAAGGAAACAAAGGCCAAGAATTGTGGGGAAATGGCAAAGGTACCAGTCTGACATTCAACACTCTGCTCCAGAGTCGCTCAGGGTGGGTTGATTTCTTCCTGCAGGTCGCATCACAAACAAAAAGATCTTGTCCAAACCCCTCCAAAAATCCCCAAAAGAAAACAGCAGGTAACATTCAGCTTTAAAAATCCATCTCAGCTTGAAGCTCCGATGCACAATTATCCCAATTCAAGTATCCCAAGGAGACATTTACTTATCAGATTTCTAGGAACAACAGCAAAAAAAAAAAAATTAAAAATCTCTCAGTTTGCTGCAAGACACCAGGAGAAATCCAACATTCCAATTCCCAAACATCCTGGAAAAAAAACCCAAAAAACCCAAAAAAGAAAACCAAACCAACCAACGAAAAACCAAAGAGTGAATTCATTTGCTTCCTCAATTGGTGCTTTTTAGGCTTTTTTTTTTTTTTTATTATTCAGCTCAAATTTTGTGTGGTTTTTTTTTTTTCCTAGATAATTTTCTTTGTTAACTCTTAAGGAATTTTTATCCTGTTGTACACACACAAGCAGATGGGAACCAAGCTGGTGCAGAAGGGGGGGAAGAAAGAAAGATTTAAAAAGAGACAAAAAAAAAAAAACCAAAACCCAAAAAGGAAAACGCAAATCGGTGCCGATGGATTCGTGGACTTGGGCCAACGGGACAATTCCG